AATGCTCCATAGAGAGGGACGGGAGCAGATCACCCTTGGGAGGACCCAGCAGATGGTGGTTGAGGACCTTCGGTACCAACCTGTGAGAGCCATAGACGTCAGCACATGGGCCTGTGTGGGGCCTCAGGAGAAAACATGCAAGACTGGTAGAAGCCATTGGGCCACACTCTATGTGTGGACTCAAGGGTCTGCAGGATGGTTCTGCCACAGAAGGGTGTGTGGGTTGTGTGGCCAGCTGATCATTGTGAGGTACTGAGCAGGATGGTGTAAGGACCAAGAGAGGAAAGCCCATGGGACTGCCAGAAATATTTAAGGAGGAATTTCCTGAGGCTGGAGATTGTGCATGAGAAGGTAGGTCCCAGAGCTACATCATCTGGATGACACCTGTGGGGCAAGTTATGGAATTATTTAATAGAAATTAGTAGTATGATTACTATAACCCTATAGTAATAAGCAAGTGAGAAGCAATCAGAATTTCACTTTTGTATTGACATAATACTTGAAATCATTATAAATTTTGGTTAAAGATATTTCTCTTATTCTTTCATGCATTTACTGAGGTAAATTTGAGAGGTGCTAATTTATAGGTCATATAGGTTTAACTTGATAGTGTTTTGCTATGGTGGTCATTATACCTGAACATCTGAAACACCCAGTTTGTTTGCTGCAGTTGTGGCCTTACTGTGGCCTTATCCAACACCGACTGAGTCAGGGTGTGAGCTTCCCTTTTTTACCTTTTCCTCAAGATTCATTGTCAGGGACTGAGAATTGAAAAACACTGCTTCTTTTTTTTAAGGAGTAGGAGATAAAATTCCTTACTGAGAGAGTGATAAACAGGAGTGAAGTAAAAGTCCAGCAAAGAGTAGTCCAAAACGAATTGTAGAAGAATTTGTTATAAATACACAAAGACATCCCTGAGCAGTCCTGGTATCCAGCTAAGACTACTGACCCTAAAAATATGGTGACAACAATCCTTGTGATTATCTGTGGGAGGTCCCTGTGACTCGTACGAAGTGTGTGATGTGTTCACCATGTGGCAAATATAAGTCTGGATGTTAAAGAAGATATAAAAAAGCACAGCATCGATTACTAAAAGCCTAACTGAGGGTGAAAGATAGGCATGTATAAATGGTGTTAATAACAATACAGTTAAATCGTTAGATAAATTGTGTGATAATACATATGCTCCAAACTAAGGAACAAGTCATTTACATAGCTGGATAAAGGGGTAGAAATTAACCACTGCTTTGAAGATATGTCTGAATTGGAAGGGGCCTGCCATTTAGGTTAAGTAAAAATACTGTCACATAAATTAAACATTTTTACAACTCTGTGTGGACAGTGCCACCTGAAGTGTTGGGATGAAGACACATTGGTCCTCAGAGAGATTAGTGTAACAAGTAAAGGCCAAGATGGTTCTGGCTTGAGTATAGGAGGTGAAAAGACCTAAATCGGGGAGGGGGGATGTTTTGGAGGTGCTATGGGAATATTATAATGGCAAAGCCCATTATTTCCACACAAATATTATAATAACTCAATATTACAATGGCAAATTCAGTTATTTCATACAAAAGATCAAACTGCCACACATTAAGAATTCAGTAAAAAGATTATATTTAGGTAGTGTGGAAAGAATAGTTAATAATTGAACAAACTAACAAAAATGACTATAAATCTTAAGACATTTATGCTCCTTTCAAGTGTAAGAATCTGCCTTTTTTTCGTCTTTTTTGGCTTTATTTTTCTTTTATCCTTTTTTACTTTTATTAGTACATGTGTGAAGTACTTAATGATTACATTCACTGTGGGGATTGGTACATACACATAACACATTTCAATTCCTTTTCTTTTCCCCCTTCCTCCACCACCTTTTCTTTTTCCAGTATCAGATTCATTTATTTATTCCTCTTTTATTTTCATTTATTTATTTATTCCTCTTTTATTTTATTCATTTATTCCTCATTTATTTTCATTTATTTATTTATTCTTCCTTTATTTCATTTATTATTCCTCCTTTATATTCATTTATTTATTCCAGCATCAGATTCACTTATTTATTCCTCCTTTATTTTAATTTATTTGTCTTTTATCCTTTTTTACTTTTATTAGCACATGTGTGCAGTACATAATGATTACCTTCACTGTAGGGGATTGGTACATACACATAACACATTTCAATTCCTTTCCTTTTCCCCCTTCCTCCACCACCTTTTCTTTTTCCAGAATCAGATTCATTTATTTATCTTATAAGACCTTAGAAAGTTAGTTACATTATACAGAGATTGAAAACCAGACTAACAGGCCAAAGAACACAAACCACGCAAGGCAATTGCACTAGTCGAGGTCCGCCTTTGGTTTCAATCTTTTAAGTCACTTCTAAGTAGATGAGGCCTGTGCTGCACTTTGCAACTTTTGCAGATGTCTGAATTGCTTATTCTTTTATACTGATGTCCTTGAGAAACTTCTAGGGAGGGACAAACTACTGCATAGGGACAAACTTCTGTATTGAGGAGACAGTTTACAGAGAGCTTTTGAGGGAGGTTTCAATGTGCCCATCAGTCATTCTAAGCAGTGATAAATGTAGCATTGCAAAAATTATGTACAGCAAGCTGAGATATAAAATATTAACATAAAAATAGGTTTTTTGAGAAGAATAGCAAACTGTCCTCTAGCAAATAGAAGTATTAGAAGGACATCTTGGTAGAAGAGCAGAGAGAAAGGAGGAAGACATGAGCGCTGGTTCCACTAAGGAAGGTCTGAGGGGAGCTTTAGGAGGACTTATGAGACACTTGTGGGAGACACAGGAGGACAAGCAGAGGCTTCCTGTTTGCCTTGGGGCCAACTCTGGGCAGCAGCGAGCTACAAAGGTAATGTGCAAGGCAAAGAGAGAGCACAGACAATAATTGTGCACAGACAAAATTGTGCATAGACAAAAGTCATGCAAGGAGAGGAAAAGAAGGGGAGAAAGTGAAAGAGAGACAAGGGAAGGGAAGGTAGCATTGCAAATCCCTGAAGAATGGGCTCTGAGAGAGACAGCACACTGTCTGGAAGTCTAACCAGACCTGTGTTGCTGCAATCCACTGCTTCACTGGTTTTGTGTCAGATGAGGTACTTGACCTGAATTTTCGTGGGTGTGAAAAAAAAACCCTATATTTAAACACTAGTACCACTCTCTGTGCAGCAAGGCAGTACAAGACACCTGTGAAGAAATATGACCAGGGAGGAAAAAAAAACTATTGACATAAAGAAAAGAGAAAAATCTAATGTGTATATTTGTCCCAGGCTCAGCTCAGGTAATGTTTCCTTTGATGGAAATCTCAGTTCCTCTTGCAATACTCATATGGGCACTTATCATTCATTTTCAGGCGATCTAGCATAACAGATGGCTCAAAAATTCATTTATTTTGCAGTGTTGCAGTGTAGTAAAGTTGTACTCATACTATTTTTTCTGAATTCCTTCTCATAAAACTGCTTAGTGGACATTTTATATTTCTACATTTATGCAATGTCTGTGAAAAGAATGACTGCAAAACATGTCTTTCAGATTTAATTAACTTGAACACAGTGCTTAGTAGGAATCAGTGTAGTGTGCATTAAAATACAGGACTTTCATTACCCTTATATCACTGCGGGGAAGTAGGTTTTTAAAAAATATTTTAGGCTGGGGTATAGCTCAAGACAGAATATGTGCTGAGATTGCACAAGGTCCTGGGTTCAATCTCCAGCACTTCAAAAAGAAGAAAAATAATTATAGATTCATAGGAAGTTGCAAAAGACAGTAGTAGAATTTTGTATCCTTTAACTAGTTTTCCTCAGTAGTTATATCTTCCATAACTGTAGCACAATATGAAAGTTAGAAAGTTGACATTCATGCAATATACTTCTCTGACACTTTTTCATGTGTATATTTGTTTTCCCACCATGCCACCACTACCTTTGAACCACATAACTTATCTACTACCACAAAGCTCTCCTTTGTGCTCTATCTTCATAGTCATAGAAAATCCCTGACCATTATCTGTTCTACATCTTTACAATTCTGTAATTTCAAGAATGTGGTATAAGTGAAATCAGAATATGTAAACTTTTGAGACTAGCAGTTTGTAGTCAGTATAATGCCCTGCAGTTCTTGGAAGTTGTGGCTAGGACTTACTGCATACATCAGTGATTTGTCTTTATTCTTACTGAGTAGTATCCCATAGTTTCCCATTCACCTTTTGGGGAACATTTTATTGTTTCTCATTTTGTTTATTGCAAATAAAGCTGCTATCAACATTTGCGTACATGTTTTGTGATGTAGCTTTGGATAAATGTATCATAGAGATTAAGGAGATCAGTTCTCCCCAGTAACACTGCTACTCAACCACTCAATGGGTATCCAAACCCAGGTGTTTTTATCTTATATCCCATGCCCTTTCCACTGTCTTACATTAACTGAGAACACTGTTCAGCAGATGGTGTAGAGAAGCAATGACCACATATGTGATTACGTTTTGATAAGATATTGGTTTCAGGATAATGTATGCTGAATGACTTTATTCTTTCAGCATGCTGTGTGCACTTCACTCATCCATTCAGTCACACGACCCATTATTCCAGTACCTATGAGGTGCTAAGCCCTGTGTAAAACTATTAAAGCACCTAGGCTGACCCACAGGGGATGTGACAAGGAACCATATTTGTGGTATAGAGCTAGTTTGCTCTGTATTAATTGGCTTTAACAATTTTACATTTGGTTAAACGGTCTTTGTTCAGAGTTCATGTGAATTTCATAATAATAAAGTGTCTCTTGAAACTAGAATGTATTTAAAAATGTGACTATAATCCTTGTCTTCCAAGCATACAGACACAAATTCAAGATTTAATTTTGCAAGGTATCCAATTTAGCACATCTTCCAAATAGGGATGAGGTTGGAATACCTGAATATTGAACATTTGAATATTTGTTTTCAGAAATCAATCATTTCTTCTGCTTATTGTGTGTCCTTTACCTTCAATAGCATGAAAAATTGATCCACCGTCCACAGAGTACCAAGAGAATTTCTACAGATCCTGTAGGTAAGGAATACCTGCGCTATCTTCATTAGAGTACTTTTTCCTCTCTTATATTCTATGTATTTGTCTTAGTAATTTTCCCATTGCTGGAACAGAATACCCAACACCCACAATTGAAAAGGACAGACTTGTTTTGACTCAGGTTTTTAATCCATGGTCAGCTGTCTCGAAGGCAGAAACAGCATGGAGCAAGGGTGTTGCAGAGGAGAAAAGGTGCTCCACTCATGGTGGTCAGGAAGTAGAAGGAAAAGAGAAGAACAGAGAACAAGAATACACCTTTGCAGGTCTTGTTCCCTGTGACTCGCCTCCAATCAGGCCCCACCTACTGACAGTGCATTTAGCTACCAACTTGTCGGTGACTGAGACCACTGATAAATATAGCACCTCCATGATCCAATCATCATTAACATAGATGAGAATTCTGGGGAACATTTTAGGTCTAAACTATAAAAGTATATGTGAACCCTGCTGTGTAAAAGGATGGAGTTTATCAGTCCAATAAAATGAGGTTTCCTTGAAATTCATGCACATATCAACCAAAATAGCATTCTGAAATAGTCACATGATTAAACTGGTGTTAAAATCTACAAAAACATAGGCCATATCAAGGACTATTGTACTCAGATAATGAGTAATTTCAAAGGATTGGAAAATAGCTAACTACAGTTTGTACTGAAATGTTGACTTTTACATTGTAAATCTTTAAATAGGGTCAGTTCAAACCAACATTCCAGGCCAACAGACTTGCAGTAGAAGTACATATTTGTATGAATCCACAAAGAAACATTGACTACTTATTTGGTTGTGTACAATTAGTAAGGTTATGCATAAGTAGGTGTGTAGTTACAAAATAATGATACAGATTTCAGGGTAGAATTTGATGCTTTTATTCTGTCTTAGCCTTTAAAAGTTATTTTGTAATATTAATAGCTACTAGTGAACTATTTTATTAGTCTTTAAAAGAGATCAGTGAATGCATTCTTACTTCCCATTTAGCACTTCCATGGATGACATAGGACCCTAACCAGAGACTACTCTTAGAGATTTGTGCAGAAAATGCACAGGCTATCCTGAACTATTTCAGGAGTAGTGCAGGAATAAACTTTAATATTATATACTCCCTAAGGGAAAATGAATCTGTTTTAAATGAGAGAACAGGTGACATAGGCAAGAGATCAGTAAATTTAAGTTAATAATATTAACTTTTGAAAATTTGATATTCAAATAAAAGCACAATTATCAACATTGTCGACAGTCATCAGAGCGTACAAGAGTATAATGATCCTTCCTTTCCAACAGGAAAGTCAAGTCTGCTATAGGAAGAGGATGATAGATACAGTTAGAAATTCTAATAGGGTGAAACTTTTAAAAGCTTTAAATGTCAAGTTAAGAAATTTAAATAACATAAAGATTTTTCAAGAGATTTATTAATGGGGTACTAACAAGGTTAGGTTATACCCAAAACTTTCATTAGTTGCCCAGGAGACCAAAGTGTGTCACAACTGACAGCAGGAATAAGAGGTTGCACCCAGATTCTGCAATATTACAGAGAAGAGATGTACAGGACTTTGTCATAGAAGGCTTACTGTTACAGTGCTAACATAGCTGACATAATCAGCATGAAAGGAGGAAAGCCTTATTTGGTCTAAAAATTTTAGAGCTTTCAGTCCATGGTTGCATGGCTCTGTGGATTTGTGGTTTTGGCAGCCCAGTACATCATAGTAGGAACTTATGGCTCTCCGAGTTCGCCTTGTCTAATTTTACTTCAAAATCTTTTTCTTACTAAGTCTCCCTTGGAGACTCCCATGTTTTCTAGAATTCACTTCAGACGTTTTTCACTTCCTAGTATCTGGGAAACAAGATAGAAACAGGAAGTGGTCAGCGTCTGCATATCTGCTTCAAGGACATTTCCTCAATGACCTAACTTCCTCCCACTGGAGCCCACCCCCTAAACAGTCCACCACCTTCCAATAGTTCCACAGTCAGGGGACTAAGTTTTTCAAATATGGGCCTTAAGGGGACATGCAAGCTCTAATGTACAGCAGGCATGATTACAACTAAGTGAGTTAAACAAGAAAGCTGAGGAAATATTTGAATTGTTTAAATTTGGGACCATTAGAACTTACATACAGAGGATAAGAAACAGGCTTTTAAAATAAAAAAAAGGTGAGTTTTCAGAAGTGTGAATGATATCCTGTTTTTGCTTACTCAGCTGAGTGGTTACACCAAGAGAGTGAGTAGAGTGAAGGCAGATCAGGCAGAGAAGGAAAGGCCAGAAGTGGTGATTTGAGTTGTAGAAATATGACGTGTATATTAACTATAGTATTCCTTGGTAGAGATGCAGGGAAAATAAGAATTGAGATATTATACTAAGGTTTAGGGAAACAGAGACAAAAATGAAGGTATAGTAGGTCTGGGATACTTGACACGGAGGAAATGCTTCACAAAGTAAAAGGTATTGAGTTCATCAAGTAGAAAGAACAGCAATGTGAGGCCCGAGATAGAAAGCAGTAATCCAGCAGCATCAAGAGGCAGAGAGTTAGAGAAGGGTGGTGAGGGAAGAGAACAAGGAGAGGCCATGAAACCTGAAAGGGTGAGCAAAATGCTTTGTGGAAGTCGGAGGAGATACAGGTTAACACTCATTGGCTGTAAGTAGTAATGAAGAGGTCTCTGGGAGGATAGGAATAAAAGCTTGACTTTTCCAAGAGGGAGTAGAACCTTAAAGCAAAGGTATCAGCTGTGAGTCACTCATGAGGAACTTGAGGGTTCATGTTTATATTGGGTATTAAAAGAGTTTATGGTTCAAAAGGGGGAGGATATAGCATAGTAGTTTGGCATAGTAGTAAAAGCAGGAAAAGAAGTGAATAGTCTTAAGGAACATGGAAGGAACCTGCAGTGAGGAAGAGATTAAAGAACAAACATGAAGATAAAATACTCAAGAAAAACACTGGGGATGGACTCCAGAAAGCACAGGGGTCTCCAAGGGAGACTTTGTAAGAAAATGATTTTTGAAGTGAACGTAAGGCAAAGAGAACTTGGGAGTAAAGACCTCGGGTAAAGTAAGAGAATAGACAATGGCTGAGTGAAATAGAATAAGAACAGGACTGGGGCTTAAATATAGGACAGAAGTTTTGAGTCATTGCTATGGAAAGTTTTAAGTTGAGTTTAGAGAAGAATTTGAGTGGATTTATGAACTACTAATGGCCTCAAGGTATAAGATTGTGTAGTTTATTGATCACATCCAGCATAGTTTCATATTTTCACGTCAGTTCAGTATTAGAAAGGCAGGATCAGGGCTGACAAAGTGAGAGCAATGAAAACCAAAGAGGACAAATATAACTAATCGCAGGCAGCAATGCTGGTGGAGAGGTGCGTGCTACGCTGCAAGGTAACTGAATGGTTACAGGTATCCGAGGAATTCCTGTATTAAGGATCAGGCAAAGAGCATATTATGAAGGTGCAAACAAAACACAAGCTGGGAAAAATGTATAAAGTAAAATTCAGCAATAATATTGAGAAGCTGAGGCCATAGAGGTGGAACAATTCTGGCTTATGACCAAACATAAGAATTGGCTCTGAAAGTCAGTTTTCAATTTGGAGTCACAAAACAGGTCATTGGAGTCCGCAAGGTTAAGGATTCATGTGGGCCAAAGAGAAAGATTATCAACAGGGTGGCCAAGAAACTGCCTGTCAGTGGGAGGATGTAGATCATAGAATGGGGAGAAGAAGCCCAACTCAGCATATATTTCAGAATAAATGCATTAAATAACGATAGCCCAATGTTCATTTGAAATCAACAAGGTTGTGTTAGCCTCTTTCCCTGAATACCCTTCACAGAAAAGTGGCATCACAGTGTAAAATCACAGTGCAGTTTATGTGAATCGAGAGAAGGAAGGAGCCATTGAGTACCAGTGGGCAGACATAGAACTTTTTTTTCACACAAAACCAGGGAAACCGGTGCAGGGGTGAACGTGCAGTAAACAAAAAAGTGGCTGTGATGCCATATGGGGTTGGTAAATGAAAAGGTCTAGATTGTAGCGTACAGAGGTTTTCCTCACAGTGATGAATCTCACTTACACAGTGAGCAACAGCATAATGGAATCAGTTATCAAATTTGCAGTTGCTTTTCCTACTCAAGGCCATTCACAAATAACCAAAGAGCTTTGAAAGCAGGCAGGAAATTTTATTCAATAACCAATGAATGGAGCAAGTGAGCTCATGCTTTAAAGACACTTTCTGCCTGAGGAGGTCTGGAGTTTGAGTCTTTACTATGGCCAAGTTGTGGGGGTTGTGGCATCAGAGTTTTTCATGGAGGAGGAGGAAATGTCCAGGAATCAGGAATCAGTAATCAGTGCTGCCTATTTTCATTCTCTAATTTGGGTCTGGTCAGATCTGTCACGGAACTAGTAGGTGTGTTTTTAACAATTATGATGAGATTGCAACAAGCCCCAGCTCACCTGGAGGGTCCAGTGGCATCCAGACCAGATCACCTCAGCAGGTGCCGTCACCTTGGTGATGGGGACTATGAGATAATGCCACGCTTGGCAGGTGGAAGCATGTGGTTATCAGTACCAAGGCTTTAAGTCTCACACAAGCAGCAGAGTTGAAAGAACAATAGGTTACTAGTAATGTCAGAGTTGAATCTGGTGATATCATGAGACTAGGAGGTAGACATGAGTCCCAGGCTAAGGGAAAGGCTCTGCTGAGCATACAGGACATATTTAGAAGTGTAAGTAGTCCAGAAGCCTAGAGGAATTGCTGGTGCAAAGCACTTTCACAGAATTGTTCTTTGGGTACTGAGTCTTTGTGTGTGTATGTGTGTGTGTGTGTGTGTGTGTGTGTGCACGCACATGCATGCATGAGTGTGTAGTTCTCTGAGTGGGTGAGGATTGTGTGGACTGCCTGGTTGCTGGCATAATCTATGCACTACATTAGTACTAATAAAGGCAAGTATCTTTTTGAATCTACAAACCTTTTTCTGACACAGTGCTAGCTAAAGGAGGGGACCCCAGCATCAATGTCCTTTGGGAGCTCATTAAAAATGCCGACTTTTATTCCTCCCTAGTCCTACTCAATTAGACTATATGGGTCTGAGACCCATTTCATCAAGTCCTTTCAGTTCCCAAGGATACTGAAATTGGAGTCTCATTTCTAACCCTCTGCAATAGTTGGCGCCCTCCGAAGATGACCCTGGCAGTGGCTGGAGGCAAAGGCTCTCACTGTCTGCCTGGGTGGTCCCTAACAGAGGGCAGAGGAGAGGCCAGGTAGATTTCCCATGCAGAGATGTGGATGGTTGGATCAGCACTTCCCTCAAGCAGAGGTCGTAACCCTGGATGTTCCTCATGTGCCCACAGAAACCCTTTGGGATAACCTGCTTCACTGGCTGGCAGAGGAACTCTCTGAAGAAGGCACTGAGGCCCTTACCTCCTCCCTCCCCCTGCGCAGCAGCACCATGCAGCTCATCAAACTCAAGCACCCTGATGACCTCACAGAACAGATCCATGAACTTCTTTGCTTCTGGAAAAAATCACTTCCAACCTCCACCGACAAACTTCGCCTCCTTGTTCGTCATCTCCGTAAGATGGGCAGGAGCGACCTTGCAGAAGGGCTCAGGTTCAAGTGGGAAAATAAAGTGTTCACTGAACCCCAGCAGTGGTTTCCTATGGCAGGGGAATAAAGTTCTGCAGCTCTTCCTTTTGCTGTAGCAAGATGTTCATGGGTTATAAAGATTGCTTCTGTCAACTTGTATTGGACAGTTTCCAAGTAACAGTGAGTGAAGTGAGTCTATTTGGTAACTATTTGAAATAAAGGAAGCAGTAATCAGACAAGAAGAATGGCTGAGCACCACCTCACTGTTGAGTGATGTATGTTGTGTTAACCATGACGAACTTCGGTGCACCCAGACTCCATAGCATTTGCAGTACAGTTTTCTCCATGTACATTTTAACAGTCAAGTCTGCTTTCTAAGTGCAAAATAAAAGTAGGATATACAGAATCACTTTTCGGGGCTGGGGATTTAGCTCAGCGGCAAAAGCGCCTGCCTGGCAAGCGCAAGGTCGTGAGTTCGGTTCCCGGTACCGGAGAAAAGCCAAAAAAAAAAAAAAAAAACCCAGGATCACTTTTAGTCATCTACGTAAAATTAAACCAGGTATCCATACTCCAAAAACCCAGTTCGAGTTACACAGGTAACGAGGGGCTTGTGGATAACAATATATAATAAATTCGGCTGATGTTGGTGGTACCAACTCACTTGAAAGAAAAAGCCTCAAAATAGATTAAATTAGAATATTTCCACCACCCAGCCACCCACTGCCACAAACTTTTGTTTTATAAAAATCTAAGTTGTAGTAGGGTACTATTTTGCTATTAGTAAAATGAGGCAGTGCAGAGAAAATAAAGTATAAGAATTCAAGGCCTCTTTTTACTTCAAAAGCAGTATGCTTTTTTTATCACTTAGCAGATATCTGATTACATACGCCTTTTATGCTCATCATTAAGAGTAAACCTGTAGAAAAACACACAAAAAAATTTTACTAAAACCATCTGTCTACTGATAATCCCTGTCTGTATAAGCACTGACTCTGGGAAACCTAAAGCATTCCTGCAGCAATTTAATATAAACGATTAGTTTAATGAATTCATTAAGGCAAAGTCAACATGACTTGGTCTTGTGAATATCAGTAGCCATCACTTTTAATTTCCAAATGCCTAGAAATGAGTGACTGTCAAATTTAAAGACAAGTTTTTCTTCTATAAATTAAACAGAGACTAGGCTATATGTTTGGTTATGTATTGGAGAAGGTTATCTCAATTCCCAAACACATTTTGAAAAGAAAACATTTTATTAGTCAAGTGTCTTTTTTTATTTTTTGCATGTTATCCAGAAGACAGAGTATGTATTTTATGTGTTCTTGGAATAAAGAACAGAGCCTGAAATATTGATTGGTTTTCTGATTACAAGGAAAATAAAACAAGTAAAGAAAATAAAAATTTCACTCGTATTCTGCCACTGATGATTACTATTACAAATATTTTGATGTATTTTCTTCCATTTTTCCTTTCTTTTGGACAGAAATATTTTATTTACGCATTTATAGATGTACAGACGTGCTCACTATGTGCTCACAGATGCATGCACGCTACTGCGTATCCACTTTCTAGTGCACATTGCCTCACTTGCACGTTCTCCTTCACTTTCCTGTGTACACACTCTCACTCATGCACACACACCCACAACAGAGCCCCCACCTCTCACAAGCACACCCTCAGGCACACATGCAAACCACTTACCTCACAATGTCAGTCCCCATTACACCCCTCCTGCACCCCTGCTTTCACCTTTCACATATAACACTTATCTACATCCACATATCTTGGGTGTAAACGCAGCCTCAGATCTACTTGTACACTGTCACGCACACTCTTGCAGAGTGTCCCACATCTCCACATATGCTCACATCACACACACCCCTCAGACACACACAGAAGCACATCTTATGACCTTCCTTGTACACCTCCACCTGCGCACCTGCATTCTCACAAGCACAGTCCTTCTTACACGCCCCACTTCCACCCTCCTCCCACATTCACATACGTATTCCCATAAGCAAATACACACACACACACACACACACACACACACACAGAGCTTTTCATACACATGAACACATTGTCCCAGAATTAAAGTGCGCACGTCATTACAATAGTGTAACAAGGCAAAGCTATATGAAGAAAAAATATTGATCATCGGTCAGTATTCCTCTCCTTAAGGTAACTGAAGCAATGGATATGACATGTGCTGTTCCTCTGCCCCTGGACACCCCACAATCTCCCCAGACTTGCATACCACATTCTGTCTGGATGACTGACCTGTGTGGATGCCATCAAAGATGAGGTCCATGGCTTCTCACTGCTTTTGGCTGATGGGGACCTGCAGCAGGTGACCGGAAGAAGGGAAGAGAGTAGGTCAAATGATGCTGCTCTCTTTTGCACATGATCACTATAACCATAGGGTGTGGACCTCACCCTAAGGTTACTACTAGGTCTCTGGAGAGGCCCCACTGGGCGGCTATCTTCTGGGGTTTGGTAGCTGGTTTTCCTTTTGTGGCTTCAGGTCTGGAGATGGTACTAGCTTTCTTGCCCAGAGTAACTGTACTATCCTTTGTGGTTCCCCTATATCTCTGTTTTGTCTTTTAAAAGAAAACTTTTTAATTTTGCAAATTTGAATATATCGTATGTTTCTTACAGCGACTGTGTCTGCTACATCTCTATATGTCTTTCTTATGTCATTAGCAATTTATATATTTCCCAGAATGGGAGTTCTTTGGTTTTTCTTTTTTTTAAAGTTAAGTTTATCAGAACATTGAAGACATACATAATGATCATATCCATCATAGGGAATGTGCACCCGTGCATATTTTGATTCCTTTTTTTTCCCAGTCTCTACTCTTCCCTTCAATTCACCTTCCCCTCCCTATTTACAAAGCTTTGTATCCATTTTATCCTTTTTTGTTTTTTTTCCTTTTTTCTTCCTTCCTTTTCCCCTCCCAACTCTAGTTTCCTTTCCTTTTTGAACAATTTCTTCCCATTTTGCGATAACTATTGTACGTTTTGGTTCTTATTTACTCTTTCAGTTTCTCACACCAGGGAGACAGTGGGATGCTTACACGTGAGTTTGATTTATTTCACTTAGAAGTATGGTCTCAAGGTGCATCCATTTACCTAGAAATGCCTCCAATTTATTTCTCTTTTTGGCAGAATACTGCTCCACTATAAAAAAACAAAAAAAACCAAAAAACAAAAAACAAAAAAACAAAAAAAAACCCCACATCTTTAACACCATTCCTCAGTTGATGGGCTTTGGGGTTATTTCCAAGATTTAGCTGTTACAAACTGTGCTGCTCTAAATATGGGTGCACATATAAAACTGTAATACAATGTTTTTAATTCTTCTGGGAAGATACTCAGAAGTGGAATAGCTGGGTCAAATGGAATCTGCAATCCTCGTGCTTTGAGGCATCTCCACACTGATTTCCACAGTGGTTGCACCAGTCTATGCTCCCACCAACAGTGGAGGAAGGTTACTTTTTCCCAACAGCCCTCCAGCATTTGTTGTTGGTTTCATTTCTTAATGATAGCCATCTCTGTGGGGTGAGACAGAGTCTCAGAGTTCTAATTTGCATCTCTCTAATAACCAGTGATGTTGAACATTTTTTCATAAATTTTTGCTGTTCATATTTCTTCCTCTGATAATTATGTATTCATCTCAGATGCCCATTTTTTGACTGGGTCTTTAAATTGGGGGGGTCTGGTTTTTTTCCAAATCTTTTTTTTTTTTTTTTTTTTTTGATACCAGGAATTGAACTCTCCAACTTTTATATATTCTAGATATTAAGTCCTTTTCTGAAGAACAACTAGCTAAGATTTTTTACCACTCTATGGATTGTCTTTTTATTCCCTTGGTGATTTCTTTTGTTGTGCAAAACTTTTTAATAGGATGAGATCCCAGTTATTGATTCTTTGTATTATTTCCTGTGTGATTGGAGTTTTGCTCATGAGAAAGAAATTAGGGAAACCACACTCTTCACAACAGCATCCAAACAATTGAAATACTTAGGAATCAATCTAACAAAGGAAGTAAAAAATCTACACATTGAAAATTACAGTGCTCTGGAAAAAGAGATTGAAGAGAATATCAGAAAATGGAAAGATATCCATTGCTCATGGATAGGAAGAACCAATATAGTAAAAATGGTCATACTCTCAATATTGTTATACAGATTTAATGTAATCCTAATCAAAATACTATTAGCATACACCACATGGCATATTCAGGAGTGTTTAGAAATTAAGTCTTGCACATGATTGTTGTACACCAGAGAAGAGTAAGTGTCTTGGTTACTTTTCTCTCATTGCTGGGACAAAATACCTGATGCCCAAAATTAAGGAAGGAAAGGTTTATTTCACTTACAGTTTGTGGAGGTTT